AAATAGATTGTTTTATTTTTTATATTTTAGAGAGAGAGAGAGCATATGAATGGGGGGAGGGGCAGATGGAGAGAGAGAGAATCTCAAGCAGAATCCCTGCTGAGCAGGGCTTGATCCCACAACCCTGAGATCATGACCTGAGCCAAAACCAAGAGTCGGATGCTCAAATGACTGAGCTACCCAGGCATCCCCCCTTTTTTATTCAGACTCTTAATTATAGAGAACAAATTTATGGTTACCAGAGGGGAGGTGGGTGGTGGGATGGATTAAACAGGTAATGGGGATTAATGAGTGCACTTATGATAAGCACCAGGTAATGTATGGAATTGTTGAATCACTATATTGTACACCTGAAACTAATATAACAATGTAAAAATAAATAAATAATTAAATAAATAAGTGAATTCACTTTCAAAAGGGGAACAGAGTTATTTGTTAAATTATGGAAAAAATATTTTATAGAACTTTATCTTGAAATAAGGTTATTTAACAAAATTTAAGAATAAACTGTTGATTTTGTAGGCTTTTCCCTAAAACTAGCACAATGGAATACCCTTCCACTGTATGTTTGATTTCTTAGATATAACACTCAAGCACACACACACAAAAAAGGTTCATGATGTGTACTTCATGGAAACTAAAAATTTTTGCTCTTTAAAAGACAATATTAAGAAAATGAAAATAAAAACACAGCCATCAACTGGTAGGAAATATTTGTAAAACACATATTTGATAAAGGACTTGTGTCCCGGATATATATATCAGAAAAATCTCAACAGAAAACAAGGAAACAGTGTCTTTGAATGACACATTGGACCAGATGGACATAACAGATATATATGGAACATTCCATCCCAAAACAACAGAATACACATTCTTTTCAAGAGCACATGGAACATTCTCCAGAATAAATCACATATTAGGCCACAAAACAAGCTTCAGTAAATTTAAGGTCAAAATCATACCATCCATCTTTTCTGATCAAAACAGTTTTTTCACCAGGAAAATAAAACAGGAAAAAAATGCAAACACATGGGCACTAAATGACATGATACTAAATAAGTAAGGGGTCAATTAAGGCAATCAAAGAAAAAATTTAAAAAATATATGGAGACAAATGGAAATGAAAACACAACAGTCCATAATCCTTGGGACACAGCAAAAGCAGTTCTAAGAGGGAAGTAAATAGATACAAGCCTACCATAAGAAACAAGAAAAAGCTCAAATAAACAATATAACGTTATACCTAAAGAAAGTAGAAAGAGAAGAACAAAGCCTAAGATGGGTAGAAGAAAGGAAACAAAGATCAGAGCAGAAATAAGTGACAGAAACTAAAAACAAACAAACAAAAAAACAGTAAAACCAAGAACTTGTTCTTTGAAAAGGTAAACAAACTTGACCAACCCTTAACCAGACTCATCAAGAAAAAAAAGAGAAAGGACCCAAATAAATAAAATCAGAAATGAGAGAGAAGAAGTAACAACTGACACCACAGAAATACAAAGAACTGTAAGATAATACAATGGAAAATTATAGACCAACAAATTGGACAATCTAGAAGAAATGGATAAATTCCTAGAAACACACAATCTTCCAAAACAGAACCAGGAAGAAATAGAAAATCTGAACAAACTGATTACAAGTAACAAATTGAATCAGTAGTCAGGAAACTATCAAAAAATGAAAATCTAGGACCAGATGGATTCATAGGTGAATTCTACCAAACACTTAATGAAGAGTTAATATCTATTCTTCTCAAACTATTCTAAAAAATAGAAGAGGAAAGAAAGCTTCCAAATACATTCGATGAGGCCAGCATTACCCTGATAGCAAAACCAAAGACACCCCCCCACACACACACAAGAAAATTACAGGCCAATATGCCTGATGAACATAGATGCAAAAATCCTCAACAAAATATTAGCCAACCACATTCAACTATATATTAAAAAGGTCATTCACTACAATCAGTTAGAATTTATTCCAGGGATGCAAGGATGGTTCAGTATGTGCAAATCAGTGTGATACACCACATGAACAAAACAAAAGATGAAAATCATATAATTTCAATAGATGCAGAAAGACCATTTGACAAAATACAACATCCATTCACCATAAAAACTTTCAACAAAGTGGGGGTAGGGGGAACGTATCTCAACGTAATAAAGGCCATAAATGAAAAACCCACAGTTAAAACCATACTCAATGGTAAAAAACTTAGAGTTTTTCCTTTAAGATCAGGAACAAGAGAAGGATGTCCACTGTGGCCAATTTTCTTCGACATAGTACTGGAAGTCCTAGCCACAGCAATCAGACCAGAAAAAGAAATAAGAGCTATCCATATTGGTAAAGAAGTTAAACTGTCACTATTTGCACATGACATGATGCTATACATAGAAAATCCTAAAGACTCCTTTAAAAAATTAAGAGAAGTAATAAATAAGTAAACTTGCCTGATACAAAGTTAATACCCCCAAATTGGTAGTGTTTCTATATTCTAATGATGAAGTGGCTGAAAGAGAAATTAAGAAAACAACACCATTTACAATTACACCAAAAAGAATAAAATACCTAGAAATAAACTTAATCAAAGATGTGAAAGACCAGTACTCTGAAAACTATAAAACACTGATGAAAGAAATTGAAGATGACACAAATGGAAAGATATTCCATGCTCCTGGATTGGGAAAATATTGTTAAAATGTCCACATTATCCAAAGCAATCTACAGATTCAATCCCTATCAAAATACCAACAGCGTTTTTCAGAAAACCAGGACAAATAATACTAAAATTTGTATGGAATCACGAAAGACCCCAAATAGCCAAAACAATCTTGAGAAAGAACAAAGCTGGATGTATCACAATTCCAGATTTCAAGATGTACTACAAGCTGTAGTAGTCAAAAGAGAATGGTGCTGGCACAAAAATAGACACATAGACCAATAGAACAGAACAGACAGCCTAGAAATAAACCCATGCTTATTTGGTCAATTAATCTATGACAAAGGAGGCTAGAATATACAGTAGGGAAAAGACAGTCTTTTCAATAAATGTTGCTGGGAAAACTGGATAGCTACATGGAAAAGACTAAAACTGCACCACTTTTTAACACCATACACAAAAGTAAACTCAGAATGGATTAAGACCTAAATGTGAAACCTGAAACCATAAAAATCCTAGAAGAGAACACAGGTAGTAATTTCTCTGACACTAAATGTAGTGACATTTTTCTAGATAAGTCTCCAAAGGCAAGGATAACAAAAGCAAAAATATTGGGACTATGCCAAAATAAAAAGCTTTTGCACGGCAAAGGAAACCATCAACAGAACAAAAAGATAACCTACTGATTGGGAAAAGATAATTGCAAGTAATATATTTGATATGGGGTTAATATCTGAAGTAAAAAAAACAAAAAACTTCTACAACTCAATACCAAAAAACAAAACAAAACAAAAACAAACAAAAGACAATTCAATTTAAAAATGGGCAGAGGACCTAAATAGACATTTTTTCCAAAGAAGATATACACATGGCCAACAGACATACAAAAAGATGCTCAACATCACTAATCATTAGGGAAATGCAAATCCAAATCATGATGAGATATCACCTTAAACCTGTTAGAACAGCTAAAATAGAAAAGACAAAAAATAACAAGCATTGGTAAGGATGTGGAGCAAAAGGAACCCTAATACACTGTTGGGGAGGATGTAAATTGGTATAGCCACCAGGAGAATAGAATGGAGGTTCTTCAAAATTAAAAATAGAAACACCATATGATCCAATAATTCCACTATTGGGCACTTAACCAACAGAAACAAAAACACTAATTCAAAAAGATGTGCACTCCTATATTTATTGCAGCATTATTTACAATAGCCAACATATGGATGCAACCTAAGTGTCCATCAGTAGATGATAGATAAAGAAGATATGCTATACACACACACACACAGACATATAAACACAATGGAATATTATACAGCCATAAAAAAAGATGCTATTGTGCAATTTGAGACATATGGATGGACCTAGAAGATATTATGCTAAGTTAAATAAGTCAGACTGAGAAAGACAAATACCATATGATTCCACTCATAAGTGGAATAAAAAAAAAAAAAAAGCAAGCCTATAAATACAGAGAACAAATTGATGGTTGCCAGAGTGGTGTGTGGGGGTTGAGCAAAACGGTTAAAGGGGAGCTTTAGCTTTAGCTTAGCTTCCAGTTAAGGAATGAGTAAGTCACAGGACTAAAAGACACAGCACAAGGAATATAATCAATGATATTGTAATAGCAATGCATCAGGACAGATGGGAGCTACAATTGTGAACATAGCATAATGCATAAACCTGTCACCTAAGTTGTACACCTGAAACTAATGTAACATTGTGTGTCAACTATACTCAAATAAAAAAAGAAATGAATAATAAAAAAAACCCCTCAATTTTTAAATGGGCAAATATAGCACGTGTTCATTGTCAAATATTTGGATATCACAGATACATGAAGAGAATTTACCTATAATCCCATGACTTAGAGATAATTACTGCTACATAAGATCTTAAATGGCATGTCCTTCCATGTTTTTTGAGTAAATATGTCATGTATATCCTATTTTTATACTATTTTATGATCTGCTTCTTTTACTCTTTTTTATAGATATATATACATATATATAAAATATTGAGCATGTTTCTGTATACTTTGATATTTGCAAACATGATTTTCAATAACTACAATGGAGAGGTCATAATTTATTCATCCAATTTTGTATCATTGGACATGTATAATTTTACAGTATTATTATACAATTTACACAATTGTAACATATACTGCTGTACATAAGTCTCTAGGTAACTATGATTTTACAAATATGACATTAGATTCTACCAAAAACTATCTACATTTTAATGAATTTTGTTTTTATATATAGGAAACCTATCTTAACTCACTAAACTCAATGCTTTTTTTTTTTTTTTTCATTTTGTATTTCTACAGAAACCCAACAAATGGAGTTGTTGGTGCAGATTTCCAAGGATGAAGTTGTCTGGGTGCAGCCAATGCTTTCAGTCAAGAAACAAGGTGGAATGTGAATTTACTTACAGCTTTACTAAGATTTAGGTGGGAAGTTTGTGAAAAAAAGTTCTGGAAAAGCAAGAAAAAAATTTCTATTCAAATTCTCATGTCTACTGGGGTAATGGAGGCATCGAGTATTTTATTTTCCATTTCTATTAACACAACTCAAAACATCTATACTTTATTGTTGTTTTTTTGTTCTCTGAAACATCTTTTTTTTTAAAAATTTTTTTTATTTATTTGACAGAGAGAGACACAGCGAGAGAGAGAACACAAGCAGGGGGAGTGGGAAAGGGAGAAGCAGGCTTCCCACGGAGCAGGGAGCCCGATGCGGGGCTCGATCCCAGGACCCGGAAGGCAGACGCTTAACGACTGAGCCACCCAGGTGCCCCTGTTCTCTGAAACATCTTAATGAGAGGCCAGCAGTGAGTTCAAGTTTTTCAATGCCAAGTTGAGAATGCCACACCTCACATACCATTTCCCTTGGAAATTGAGAACAATCCAAGTTTTTCAAAACCCCAAAGTATCTTTTTTTATTCTTTGAAACTCCATGCTTTACCACAGTGCAAGTCTTATTAGGTTTTTAATAAAATATTTGTCAGTTGTTTTCTAATCAAGATTCTGTTCTTCTCACATCAAGGAATCACTTAGGAGACAAACAACAACATATAATAATTAGATTTGATTGAATATAATTGATTTGAATGTTAATGAAACAGTGCCTCCAATATGTTTTATTTCACTTAAATTTTGATGACACTTAAGCAGTTGTCTTGCTTCCCCCAACCTGCCACCACTATTTCTCCCTACCATCGCATTTGACACTGTTCCTGTGCTTATCAACATTGTTTGTCTGAAAGCCTTTTAATCAGCTGTGGGTGAAGTTGCAGAGGAGCTCTCAGCTCTTCCAGCTCTCTCACCTCCCATGTTAGTTGCCAAGGGAACCACTTCACTGAGTCAACAATAAAAGACTCATCAAATTTGGTTGTTTTTTTCTTTTGCCTTGATGAGAGCCACTGAAATGTCCTCTTGCTTCAGACCACATGTGTCAATCTCTTCCATTTCTTTGCATAAGATCTGAAAGCAATCTTTATTTATAGTAAGGGATGAAAGAGGGAAGTTTGACAAGCTAGTGTTGTGAAAGTTAGCTGAGATCAGTGCCATAGAAACAATATGTTCTCTGAAAGGAAAATTTAAAGTATTATCTTGAGATATTTGGACAGAATTTTCAGCTGTATGTCCTGTTTGATTGGAGTGGGATGGATAGGTTTGTATTTTATTCTGACCAGTCTTTTGAAACATCAATAAGGCAAATGATGAGCCTGCGCTTTAAGGCAGGACAGGATCTAAACTGCCTTTGTTTGCTTCTATAGTACTCTTGTCCACTGGCACAAATAAACTCTCAACAAATGTAGAGAATTTTTCACCAATGGCTGCTGCCAACCTACAGAAGTTCTTCTGTACTGTTTTAAAATATCCAGTCAAGTTACTGTCTAGAAAAATCTAGAGGCTGGTGAAGAAGAGTCTCTGCAGCCTTTCTACTCAATACACCCTGCCCTTACCTCTTTTGAGTTGTAAGCAATAAAGCTCCATGAACACAGGAGAAGGAAGTCCCCTTGAAGAGAAATGGTCCCACGGCCCCTTGTGGGAGTTCGGGGTGAGAGAAAAATGTTCTGCCTACGCACCCTCATTTTCAATCTTTTATGCAAAAAATATGAAGTTAAAATGGGCATTGTGGGGAATTTTCCTTGGGGAAAATGAAAACAATGTCCTAGGACAGCTGAGGTGAACAGAAGGGTAGATAGAGTAGGGTCTGGAATGGGAAGAGCCAGCCCCACTCTTTTTACCCAGGTTTCTATGCGGTAGAGGGAAGTGGTCTTGTTTTTACTATATTTTTGTACCAGTCAAGCCACCTGCCCAGCTTCTCAGTTTTGACTGTTCCTCAAATTGTGGTCATTTATTACCTGCATCATCATCACCTGAGGCTCATAAAATAACTGCAATGTCCTAGGCTGGACCCCAGATCTGTTGAATCAATCTGAGGATGGAAGCCAACATCCATACGCTTAACAATTACCCCAGGTGATTCTTATTTATATAATGCATAAAGACTAATGCAAGAGAGTCTGTGATAGTGGTAAAAAGGGAGAGGGCACAGGGCAATCTTCTCAGAACCCAAGTTCTAAATATGGATGAGCTTTTTGGGATGGGAGGGTCCATAATATACCTAAAGTTGTTTGAGAATTTTTGTGTGAAAGCATGTCTACATACATCTTTCTGGTGAAGGGCTTTGGATCTTCAATCAGATTCCCCAAGGAGTACACGACTCTCTCCAAAATGTTAAGAGCCACTTGTTTGCAGAATGCTTGAGTTGATGTCAGAAATAGTGGCAAGTATCTACAAAATAAAATGTCTTGAATAATCTCCTACTCTCACTCCTTCCTTTAACTCCCCTGAAACACTTCCCCAGTGTGGATATTGAAATTGTCCAGATTCATCAAAATCTCACTTACCAAATCTATTTGGTTTGTAATCAAACAAAATGATACAGTGAGTATTTTAATGGCTTTCTTTTTTGGACCAAATGATTAACTCAAACCAGAAAACAAAAGGTTAATTTTGTCCTCTGCCCACATTACGAAAACAAAATCAGTGTTGATGCAGTCACTCCACTTCTCCAAAAACCAAAGTGGTTTCTGAGAAATCCCTCACCACTTTGGAGAGTGAACGACTAGAACATTCATGATTAGAGAAATCAGATTAATTGGCCCACAGTATGATGTGAGAGTGTGTTCCTTAATGACGATAGCTGTGCAAAGTGGATGCACACAGCACTCATCCAGAATGGCTCAGGGAACTAAGGCCATGTTTCTCAAAGTGTGCTTAGAAAACGGCATGACCAGAGTTATCTCGGGAAACCTGATAAGATGCCGATCCCCTGTACCCATCTAGACCTTAAGAATCAGAATCACTAGTGATGGGTCCAGAAAATTGGCAGATAGGACAAGTATTGAGGAAATTGGTAACTATGAAACATTAAAAAATTTGAGAGTTCTCCGGGTAACATTTCTCCTGAGTCATCTTTGCATAAGGATAAAAGTGACGGTACAGAGAAGCAGTGCCATTGAGCCCAGGACCTGAAGCACACTGTCGAGAAATAGCAAAGTGGCACCCAGTCTCTCCCCACAGGGGATTTTAATCCTGTCCAGATGTTTATTTTAGAAGGCTGAGAATTGGAAAATGATTGCATAATCATAAAACTTCTGTCCTGAATGCAATTAAGAAGCTTATTACACCATTGTGTTAGAAATCTTAAAACTTCATTATTCTATATTTGAAAACCCCAATGAGTATCTCCTCCACTCAACCAAAAGGGCTCACCCTATTAATATCCCACCTCTAAGACTCTCTGACTGATAAAGGATGTTTCAGACCTGAGCCTGTCCATCTCCTGGTATAGGCAGGCTTGGGGATGGGTGAGGACTTCACATATTGTGGTTTTACTGCCTTCAGAAGGGTGTGTCTGTGAGACCAGGGAATCCATTCCCAATTTGGTCAGTCCCAAGAGAAACAAAACATTTCTGTTTATTCTTTTCCTTTTATTAGTCTCTGAAATTGTCACTGTTTAGAGCTCAGGCTGAGATTATTCTTGAATGTTCATTGTTTCCATACTAAAGCATTTCTAAGGAAGTTGGGAATAGATCTATAGCCATAAATAACATAATTCATTTGTCATCAGATAATTAGTGAGAATGTTTGCTACGTCTTCTTGTATTTTTTTGCTCTCTCCCAATGTCTATGCAAAAGAGAGACCTGCCTCCTGAAAATAAAGTTGTATTTTAACATTTCTGTCTTTTTTAAAAAGAAAGAAAAAGAGTGTTAAAGCAAGGCACTAAATTTACTAGGAGGTATAAGCAGATCAGTAGATACGAAGTGATGTCAGAGAGCTATGTCCACCCCTGCCTGCTGCCATAAACTTCCGTGGAAAGAATTTCACAGTAGGGCTTGCTGAAAGACCTTTTCACTAGTCTCCCCAACTAGTTAATGAGGTAATTTACACTGCTCCCATGAAGTTCTGAGCTATTAGAGCTGATAGGGGCAGCAACTCTGACTTGGTATTTATTGTGGACAGAACAGTGCCCCCCACCCAAATGTCCACATCCTAATTCAAAGAGTCTGTGAATATGTTATTTTATATAGCAGGGAAATGAATGTTGCAGTTAGAATTAAGGTTGTTAATCAGCTGATGTTAAGAAAGGGAGATTATCCTAGATTATTCAGATGAGCCCAATGTAACCAGAAGGGTTCTTAAAAGTAGAAGAGGGAGGCAGAAGAGTATGAGACTATTCAGTGTGAGGACTTGACATGCCATGCTGGCTTTGAAGATGGAAAGAGGCTATGAGCCAAGGGATATGGGCAGCCTCTAGAAGATGTTAAAGGTAAGGAAACGAATTCTTTCCTAGATGTTCCACAATGTAACACAGCCCTCCCAACACCTTGATTTTAGTAAGTGAGACCCATTTCAGACTTCTGACCTACAGAATTACGAGACAGGAAATCTGTGTTTTGGTAAAGCCACTAAGCTTGTGGTAATGTGTTACTGTAGCATTGGTAAAACTAATACATTCATCTAAATATTTATATCTCTTTTAACTTTTCAGAACAAAGTAAATTTTTAGTACTTAAAAAAATTAATCTGGATTTTTCTTCAAATTGAGGGAACTTTCAGACAATTTCCTATTTCACTTTAATTATCCCTAACATCTGAGCAATGCTTGACCTATCGTAGTCATATTAGACACTTATGATGATCATCATGATATAATAATAGAGAATCTTGAGCACTGAAAGGGCTTCAGCTTCTGGGGAGATATTAATGTTCAGGTCTGGGCTTATGACTTTAGCAGCCCTAGATATCTTAGAGGAAAGTAGGGTATGGGATGGAAAAGATGCTCAATCAGGAGAAAGTTCATCTTCCAGCATCTGCTATGAAGAGAACATGTTTTGATTGTATTCACATCATATAAAGCTACTCACTAATATCTAAATTTTGATGATGTGCAGGTCTTCTCAGGCATTATACACAGGATGATAACATTTATAGATTTAACTTCTTATTCTGTTGCTTATTTCTAAGTGAAGAGCCCAGTGGGGATTCTATTCTCTTCCTTACCCACCAGCTGTCCTTCTCAATTAATTGCTGCTTATGTTCAGAAGAGCTGGTTTAAGAACTGTTCTTTTTCAACACTATCTCCTATTGGCTATAATAATCATCATATTCTCCACCCTAAAGCAGTCAAATGCTGTTTCGTTGAGAATGAAAATTCTTTTCATTTCCTTCATTCTATAAAAATGTAATATTTTAAATGCATTAAGCATTCTGTCCTTCCCACTCTGAAAATCAGCAAAGCAACTTTTTGTAGGACTTAAGATTTTAGGACAGATTCCAAAACAATGTCTTTAAAAACTAGAGATGGTAACTAACATTTATGTAGTACCTAATATATGCCAGGGAATTTTGCACATTATCACATTTGATATCTGTAATAACCCTATAAATTCTATATGATGTCTATTTTTCACATAAAGAAACAGCAGCTAAGAGAAATCTTA